CTCAAATTAGAGTAAAATAGTATTTGCTTCCATTTTATTTAAGTACTGAATTACTAATCAACATGCTACCCGTCAAAAATGATGAAACTACACAAAATATAAACTCATATGCAAAATTCTGATGCTTTATGTATCACAGGGATATTTCAGGTGGAAGACACGGTTTTCAAAATATATTTCATACATTTTTTGTTATAAAACGTCTGTAAATCACTACTTTTTTTTTTACTTGCTGTGCAGGTTAGGGTGAGTTATTTCCAGTAGCAAGATCCAGTATATTTTCAGTTTACCTCCAAATGACACAACAGGATCAGCAGAAGGAAATAATAATACCTCAAAAAAGAAACTTGAGTACAAGAAAACTTTAAAAAAATAAACTGTAAATTTAAACTTGAATTTAAACTGTAGGTGTGTGTCTCTCTGGTTTATTTTTATTTGAAACAAGCTTGTTCTTTGCAGAGGATGTTAATTAAAATAGGTAGAGGGAGTTTTTACTTAAGTATATTGCAGTTAAACTAGACATACAAGTATTTAGTTACTCGTGTAAATGTAACTAGTTACGGCCTACCTCTGCCTGGAGATCATGAGAAATATTCTGGGTTTCAGAGTTAAAGTAGAGATGGCCCCTAATGTGTACAGATGCTACCATGGTTCTTATGGTTCTCAAACCAGGAAAGAAACAAGACCACCGTCCAAAATGCCACCTGAAGGACTTTATTTGAAAAGTTACCAAACTTCTGCTGGATTTTTGTCTTTAAAACAAAAAGGCTTTTCTCATTACTAAAACTAAAACATGCTCCCACAAACACAGACACACACATCTGATCTAATGTTTCCAATCATCTACTGTCCACAGTCCGTCATAAGCCCTGTCCAGGGTTTCTCTCAGCCGAATAAACAGCAGGTCCTGCAGACAGTCCCAAGTCACCCACACCCTCTCCACCATGCTGTACTGGCAGTAACCCATGGCCAAACCAAAGCCTACATCCGTCACATAGTGCCTAGCGAGCAGCAGCCTGGAAAGGCTGACCAGGGCGGCCCAGCCGAGCACCAGGACCCTCATGGAGGCCGTGTCTGCCAGCTGGGCGAGGAAGAAACGGGCACACATGGCCGCTCTTGAAGCGTGGCCTGAGGGGAAGGAGTAACGTTCTACGAAGAAGGTTGAGAGGATATCGGAGCGGTTCTGGGCGGGTGTTCGGCGTCTCACTAACATCTTCACAGCTCTGACCAGCATCAGGTCCAGAATGAGAGCTTTGAAGAAGACAGAAGGACATCAAAATTGGGGATTGCAATGGTTATACAGATCTGTTTAATTAATAACACTTTTCTAGTGCATCCCTGTTGGGTGTTTGACATTAGACTGTTATGACCAGAAAAGCCAGAGCAGCACAGAGGTTGTTTTCTGAGCCTATCTCTAAGCTGATCTCTAAGTCTGGGTCAGTAGGCTACATAATAAAGAGAAGCAATGTCAATTGGCGGGGGGTTGGTTTGAGCGGAAAGACAGTTGCTCCAGCAGCAGGTAAAATGTCAGCCTTGAGGAATTAAGAAGCAAAATCCATTCAGGAATGTAAGGAGAGCTTTTTAAAGAATGGAAAGATGGTGGAGTTACTGCATCAAGAGGAAAAACATTTCTCAAGTAAAGTGACACCTAAACCAGAGATAACTTCAAAAATATCTTATAATGGACAACAGAAAAAAGAAGAATGTGGCTGTAGCTCAGTGGTCTAAAGTCCTAATTTCAGATTAAATTAAAGTTTGCATTTCATTTAGAAATCAGCAGAGTACTGAAGACAGATAGCCAATAAACTAAAGGACCAATCTGAATAATTAATAATGAGGATGGGAGAATGAGGGGTGATTTTTTGTTGTTTTTACTTTTATCATTTACTATTAGGGGTTTGGTGGTCTAGTGGTTAAAGCTTTGCGCTTAGGTCCTGGAGGTTCTGAGTTTAAAACCTACACACTCCCACATACTGCCACTCTGGTTCCCTGAGTAAGAACCTTAACCCCAGACCACAGCCTACTGCTTCCTAAGGGAATGCGTCAAATGCAGATAGTGAATTTCCCCATTCTAGGACAATAAAGAATTTACAGATTTACACATAATATTTTCTTAATTTTTGATATTTACTGAAATTATGGATTATTACATTTTCTTATATTAATTGTTCACAACAAATAATACCATTTGGGACAGAAAAAGAAAACTATTTTTAAAATGTATTTTCTTTCCCAGGTTTAAAATGTACTATTGAGCTCTCATATAGGTATAGTAGATGTATTTTCAATATATTATTTATAACTTCAATAGGAGCAGCATTGGGCTATCTGATGGTGGTTATAATAAATAAACAGAGTTGAGAAAGATTTATTTGATTTATGAGACTTTTTTAAGAGACAAATGTTTACCCATCCATGTCTGGGGATGTATTGTCTTTCGTTGTATTTTAATTATAATTTTATGGGTGTGATAAATGCCCATTATGTTTTTAGGGTATTTCATGAATAAAGTTGACTGACACTCCCTTGTGTTCCAATAATACAGGCGAAGGTATTTTACTAAAGCACAATAGGATTGTTTAAAGTGATCAGTCAGTAAATATGATCCAAACATGCCAGTGTGCGCTGCACCAACGCAACCTTTGGTCTCCTCCCTGCTGTTTGTTGGTCAGGAGGCGCAAACCCCTTACTGTACATTATGTGACCCATGGGGAGACCGATTTAGCTCGTTGTGCTATTTAGACTATCTTTAACTTTGCAAGGCTTTGGTCAGACATCAGCAGAGCGCAGCAATGACTGCCAAAGGTCTCATTGTCTTAACGGCGCATTTGTGCGTAAAAGCGCGCGCCGGATTTTTATATAAATTATGAAGGCAGATAAAAAACAAAAACAAAAAAACACAAAGCAACATGAAATCTAACTGGAATGTCAGTAATGTTAGACTAATTTAGTGAACTGAATTACAGTGGTTTGTGTGGAGATGGAAAAATAAAATGGGAATGATTTAGACCGAGGGGAACACCTTGCACTTTTAATGGTCTCCTCACCCAGAGTTAAATTCAGCATGACCTCCTGCTCCTCCACGCTGTCCCCACGGCACAGAGTGTACACGGTGCCGACCAGCCACGGGATGACATGGCCGGAGAACTCCACCAGCCGAACCAGGGGCCTTATGCTGCCCAGCGGCGACTTCTCACAGGCGCAAACTCCGAGCTTTTTGGAAAGCCACAGATCCACTGCCAGCAGGAACCGGAGCGTTATGGCAAACAGGGGCTGGTTCAGGCTGACCGAAAGGTCTTCGGGGGAGAAATAAGGGCAGCTGGAGGCCCGGCGACGGCCAAGGTGGCAGTCCAAGGATGCTCTGCCTCCAGCAGCGACTCCTCGGCAGCTGTTCCGTCTGCTCACCGGGGAGGACATGCTTCCTCTGGCGGAGCGTCTGCGGTCTGTGCGCCTCTGAGTCCAGCTGCGCTCAGACGCAAACCATCCTTCAAGCTGCTCGGTCCAAACACGGGTTAATGTGTCAACCCACGGACCACGTGGGTTCACAACACTAGATTCAGACACAGAATGAGGCACCAAAGTTATTTTCTTTATTAGGATTTATCTATGTGTTTGTTTAAATGCATGAAGGCTTTTTGCGTTTTTAAAAGTATATTTTGGGGTTTGGTTTTATTCTTTCAAGGCAAAAACTTTGCAAAAGTATTTGGGGTCAATTTTACTCAGAGAAACGAGTCATTCGTGTTTTTAAGGGGAAAAAAACCTTATTTCGCTAATCTGAGTTTGGGTCAAATAGATTGATCCACTCTAACCCTGAGATACCTGCTAAATAAAATATTTACTGTGAAAAATATCGACTGTTAAGTCTATGGGATAAAAATAAATCCATAACCTGGGTTATTTGTTTTTGAGTTAATTATCTATCACTTCATTTTCCTGTCTGTAGATGTTTGTCAGAGTTCATGCAGGGTAAACATGATTACAGACAATCGTGTGATTCAAACGTTGCTGCTTTGCTTTTAAATGAGGTGTCCACCTTTAAATGTCAGACGTGAGACGGAAACGGAAAAGGCTGTCTGAGGTCTCCAAAAGGATGGAGCAGCCTATGAAGATGGGGTTTTCCAACACTGCAAAAAAAATTGAAATCTAAGTAACTCCTTTGTTCTTAAAATACATGCATTTTGTCTTGAACTGATAAGGACAGTGAGTAACTTTGCCAATGGAACAAGACAATTTACATTTAAAATAAGAAAAAATAATTGCTTTGTCTTATTTCAAGTGCATATTATCTACTTGTCTTATTTTAAGAATAAAAATACTCCTTCCATTAGCAGATCATCTTATTTATCTAGATTAAGGGTAAATAGTGCTTATTTCTAGATCATTCTTGCAGCACAAAGAAGATAAATGGCGTAAAAAGTTGTTCAGGGAGAAAAAGACTTGCGTGAATCCTGGAGCATGGAGGTGGAGGTGTGATGGTTGGGGGATATTTGTTAAAGCAACAGAGCCTGGTTAGATCACCATGTCGGAACCGTGTTTCAGGGGGATTGTTGAGGAAAATATGGGACCAAACAGAAGCTAGTGCAGAAGAACCGGATCCAAAACATCCATGCAGATCTGCGAGGTTCTGGTTCTGTGTCGGGAAAGAGTTCTATGCAAAGTGAAAGATGAACTTTAATCAGATTGCTGTTAATGAAGTTTTAGATTATTTCTGGTAAGACCAATGGTCATGATGTTAAGGTTTTCAATAAATAAATAGGTTAAATTAGGTTATTTATTTTCTGTATATTAAAAAATAACATTGATAAAAAATATATATGACGTATCATTTAGTAAAGAATCGGATGTTCTCATTTCGGAAGTTTGTGCGTCAAACCTGAGCGCACCATCCGACCGCGCTCTCCTCCAAAAACCAAGACCCACCCCCGGCGCGGCACCACGCACCGTGCTTCACAGTTAACCATCCGCCTCCTCTCTGTCTCTCTTTCAAGTTTCGTCTCTCAGTCCAACCCACGTCCACATCCACGCTTCCATCATGCCGGGGCTGCTGCTCGGAGACCCGTTTCCTGATTTCGAAGCGGAGACCACCGCTGGTAGAATGAAACTCCACCAATATCTCGGTGATTCGTAAGTAAAGAGCTGCTGATTATTGATTGCATGTCAGATTTCACAGAGTTGGAGAGAATCCAATCAGCATGATAAGGAAGGAGGAAGTTTTAATGTGTGACTGAGCGTTTCTCACTTCTGCATTCTTAAACAGATAAATCTATACAAACACTAAAGAATTATGTGTCTCAGGCATCAGAGATTAACAGCAAAATAATCTCTCAAATTTATATTACTCATAGTTGAGAGGATTCTCATAATCACAGCGCTTACCTCCTGGAAAAAAGCCCCTATGTTATCAAACTAAACCAGGCCACATCCTGTCAGTTTTCCTTGGTTATAGTAACTATAGATGCACAATAAGCTGTTCTTTTATTATCTAACATGATTCCGGGGCTGAAAAGTTTTGTACTGCCCCTTTCATCATCCAGGTCCTTTTTGCAGTGGTTCTGTCTCCTCGCTCATTCGGGTCATGGCAACCACAAAATATCTGTGTTAAGCTTGTATTGTGGTTAAAATTTGGCCTCATTTTTGATTCTAGGAAACATTAGTGTAAGGAGTTTATAATAGTGTCAAGATGCTAAAGGGGCCTAATACAGAAAGCATCATTCTGCCACCTCCGTGCTTGACAGTTATCTGAGGTCTACATTGTGGCTAGCTTCTACTGTTGCCATCTAAGCACAGCAGAAACATTCACATGGCTTTGATAGCCTAATGTGTAAAACTTTCTTCTGTTAAACTGATATCTGTTTCATGATGTTCTTAAACAGGAAACCTTACAAATGACTTTTTTTTTTTATCTCACATTATCTACATGTGAAAGTAGCTGAAGATAAATCCTGTGATAAATCCTGTGAAAGTATGAAATTAGTTCATAGGTCAGAACAAAAACCAGTGTAAGACTTAGGAGGCCAAAATGTTTATCTTCTGTTCAACAAGAAATCAGGTCACATCCTGTCTTTCAAATGTTAGATACTTATCTTTTTTTCCCCGTACGTCAAAAAAAGCACCTGAAACCCTTCTCCAACTGGTTTCTAAAATGCCCATGTCCCCTACAGATGGGGTATCTTGTTCTCCCACCCCAAAGATTACACCCCGGTTTGCACCACGGAGCTGGGTCGAGTGGCCAGGCTGAGCAGCGAGTTCAGCAAACGCGGCGTCAAACTGATCGCTCTGTCCATCGACAGCCTGGAGGATCACTGCGGCTGGAGCAAGGTGACATGAAGACCAAGACGCCCTGTTGCCATGTTCTAACCACAAAACCTTGAGCTTTCACAGTAGTAAATCATTGTAAAACTTTTGCACGCATTCAGTGAAGTAATCTAATTAAAAGTCCACCTTAATATAGAGACAGTATGGTATGAATGCAAGAAGAAAAAAAGATGCAGGTGAACATTGTTCTTAGCGTGATGGCAGCATAATGATCTGGGGGTGCCGGAGTTCCACAGAGACAGGGATGCTAGATAGAGTTATATATAGACAGAAATGGAAATAAACCTGATAAAGAACTGATAGAGCACATGTTCCCCTTCAGGCAGAAACATCAGAAATATTTGAACTAGAATCCAATTTATTGATTTTAGAATAGCCTAGTCAAAGTAAATATCAAAGTTTATTTTATAATTTGTGATAATAGGTCTTAGCTTTTATTTAATCAAATTGTTAACCAGATAAATGACTGCAGACTCTAAAACATGTGTATAAACACATATATGTATTTATTTATTTTTTTGCCATTTGCAATTCATGTCAAACGGCAAATGTGTTTTCATTTTATATTCTAAATGTTTATTTATTTAGAAATGTTAATTTACTAAAAGTATCTCTAGAATAAATATATTAATTTCAAAAGGTGTTTTATGAACCAATTACATCACTAAATTATGGTACAAATATTTTTTTCAATTTTCCTGTGAGTAATAAACAAACAAAAAAAAACACATTTTGTGTAATATTTAAATTCTTTAAAGTATCTTATTGCATATATTAACTTTTGATCTAATAATGTTTGTTTTTACTTCAAGAAGGATGTTTCATGTTGCACAAATTTGTGCATACAGGAAAGTTCCAGCTCTTTGGTCCAGGTATCAGCCTGGTTTATTCTGTGAGGCTTCTTTCTGATAGGACATCCTGGCTTATAACTGTGAGAAGTCTGAGTGCTGCAGGCTGCCCTTTCCCATCATCGCGGACAGCAAACGTGAGCTGGCAGTCTCTCTGGGTATGCTGGATCCTGATGAGAAGGACAAAGACGGCCTGCCGCTCACCGCTCGCTGTGTGAGCATCACAGCCTCATGTGCTTCATTCCAAAACCCTCAAACTGTGCCCCTTAGTTAAAGCGTTCAAACCCGCTTCTCTTCCTCCTCTGCTTTCTATGTTTGCACAGGTTTTTATTATTGGACCTGATAAAAAGCTGAAACTGTCCCTGCTCTACCCGGCAACCACAGGACGTAGCTTCAGTGAGATCCTGCGTGTGGTCGACAGCCTCCAGCTCACAGCTGAAAGAAGAGTGGCCACGCCTGCTGAGTGGAAGGTATTTATCACCTTATAAAACAATGCTGCCTTTCAGAATGTTAATTTACTACCATACTTTGTTGTATTTCTATGGGATGTTATGCAAAAGACCAAGACAGTGCAGTGCATTATTGTTCAAGTGAAGTCAAAAATTGTACAATAATAAACAAATTTCCTTTAGCTAACCAATGAGTGTTTGCTTTCTATGACTCATCCAATGACACTAGTTTGCACTAGATGTGGATGGAGCCAATGATCTGCATTGGATGGCGCACATGACGTGAAATAAATATGCATAAACATTAAACTGAAGCCAAGAATAACGAGTAAACTTTGCTTTAAAAATGTAAGGAATAGAAAGTACAGATACTTGTGTGAAAATGTGATAAGTAAAAGTCAAAAGTAGGAAGAAAAATAAGTAATGGAGTAAAGTATAAATACCTAAAAAGTGTACTTAAGTACAGTATCGAAGTGTTTTTACTTCGTTTCTTGACACCTCTGAAAACACGCAGCCCACCTCCCCTTCTCATTGGTGTTCTTATGTGCCGGGGATGGGCTAAATTAGCATATCTTCTAAAGATTGAAGTCTGAGATTTAAGGCTTAAGAAATAAGAAACATTCAAATTTATATTCAAGTTTTACATTTAAAAAGTAAGGTATAAATTTAGATCGAACATTTAGATTTAATATGTATTTGGCTTTAGCATGTGGATTAAAGACATTTTTTACAATTTTACAATTTAAACTTAAGCGGTATATTTAGATTTCAGATTAAGAAATAGATTTACATATAAACATAACATTTATATTTTAGACATAGGATGTAGAAACAGTTTTAACATATACATTTAGATATAGATTTAACACTTATGTTTAGCATTTTGCCGCTTAATGTTAGAAAAGAACTAAATGCTAAGAAATCAAGATAAATATCAGAAATGTGATCGGTCTTTTTTATACATTTTTACGGCCATCCCCAACGTTGTAAAAATAATCCAAAAAGGAGGAGATGGTCCCCCTGTGGGGATGCTGCAGTGAGGGGGGTGGTCTCCCTTCTGACAAACTTTTTATACTTATACTTATACTACTAGCAGCCAAGGTACCTTTAATAAAAATGAAATATCGACAGTAGCTTTGAGTTTAACTAGAGAAGGAAGAATTTTAATTTGTGGCAAATTGGCAAAATTTCAAAATATTTCCTTTTTTTTTCTGCAGTTTTTTTTTATGCTGCACTACATCTTTACTACATCTGCTATCAGCATTAATTAACCAGAGGCCAACTTAGACTTTGTTACTGTATTACTTTGTTGCAACTTTTGCTGCAACTTTTCAGACCTTTCTAATGATTTTTTCATGTTCAGTTGGATAAACACTTCCTGGTACCTTTCCATTTTGACAATGATTTTTTGTTGTGAGAGATGTGAAAAGGTTAGCATATTCCTTTATGACTCTGTTTTTGGATTGGATGAGTTCTTAAACCTTATCACTCAACAGCCTTTTATTTAGAGGTGTCAGATTAAGCGGGGCTGAAAGTACAGTAGTAGTCATTAAAAAATCCCCCACTTTCCTTTATGGGTCCTTGGCCAGTCTCCTGCAATTCCCTTTTTAAACATCTAAAATATCATTTCTATCATGATTTGTGGACATTAAGATTTAAATAGTAGCGTTATCGCCTGGTCAGACCCTGTACATCAGTGAAAGGGTAAAGTCAGAGTAAAAAAAATATGCACGTCCATTAGAAGGCCAGTGGCTGGAAGTTGGAGGGGATTTTGCTGCCATTCGGCTGGCTTTTAAATGGCTGCTACTGTATATGGACGTCACATTGCTCAGTTAATCTCTGTGTTTAATGGTTTCATCTTCTTTCCACTTGTGCATCGTGATACTTTATTTTTATGTATTACTTGGACAGTTGTAGCTATAAATTGACAACAGAGGGGGAAAATATATATATATTTTCTTGCAGCCTGGAGACTGCGTGATGGTGCCTCCGAACATGCCTGAGGAGGATGCTGCCGCTTTGTTCCCAGCGGGGGTCTTCACTAAAGAACTGCCCTCTGGGAAGAAGTACCTGCGCTACACCCCAGACCCCCACGACCTGGGTGAAAGTGTGGATCCTGGATATTCACTGATTCAACCGCGCCAATGCACGTCTATTTTGTAATGGGCTTTTCTTTTTTTTTTTGCTTCTGTAAAGCAGACCAAAAGAATACAATAAACACAAGCAGAGTTATTCTGTTATGACCTTTATAATAGGTTGATTTTAAAGTAGGCGACATGTTAAATAACTTTACATTTGCACTGACAATTCAAACACAATGGGTTATAAAGTTTAGTGTGGAACAACTCTGTGTGTATTTGGGTCAGTGACATCTGATTCATGTCGATCTGCTGGAATAAGTGAACATTATAGCAGATTTTAACCCAGATGTTGAAGGAATTTTATTTTTATCTGAGTTTCAGCGTTTTGTTTCATTAAGACCCCAAAGCTGAGAGAGAATCTGACCTGGATGCTGAGGCTGATGATGATCCTGATCATTTCCATCCTTGTTTGTATTTTTGCGCATATTTACTACAGGTGAATACTTTGTAACACTGTATTTAACCGTTTCCTAATGTTTCTAAAATTTCTGTAATAAAAAAACACCTGTAGGAAGGAGGGGATTTGATTGAAAAACTCCAAAGAGGAAAAAGAAAAATACAAACTGCGGTGCTCAAAGGAAGCTCTGATTAGTCCACACTGGGATACTTAGTTTTCAAGGAAGGCAGATTCTATGATGTTTGAATCTAGATTAACAGCTAACTAGCCAAACTAATTGAAAATGGGCCATGCTTTGTTCTAAAGCTAACCAAAGAATGTTGGTGTGTTGCTCAAACAGTGGAGTAAATGCTTCCTGTTGAACGTTGTTTCATTTCCTCTACTGGTTCAGACCTTTTGGTTTATAACAAAAGTAACCAACGTTTGTGGTGCTCTCCACGCAGTCAGAGCAAACAGGCTGGTTTTTCACTGTAGGTAATTGTGGTGAATAATAATTAATGCCTATCAGATGATGCAGCGCAATGCACATTTTGTCACGCTGTAATTTCAAACTTGAATGTGTTTTGTTAAGGTTTTATGTGAAAGAGCAAAGCACTTAAAAAGTACTTTAAAACTGGAGAATGTGATAGTTTCTACTACAAAGATACCCTATGTGTTTGTATTCAGCCTTTGTTAATTGTGATGCCTTAAATAAAATCCAGTGCAAATCGTCGCCATGCATAATCCAATTTGTGTATTTAATCTCAGTATAGCTGCACCTGCTCTTTGGAAAGCATCAGAGGTGTGATTAAGAACATAAGAAGAAAAAGCATCATGAAGGCAAAGATCACAGCAGAGTGGTCATTGGTGTCACTAACCGATCCGTCCCGGAAGCACGATCCGTTCTGCGCATGCGCCATCCGCTCATTTGCGCATCAAGATACACATCCGGGTCGTCCTCGATTTTATTTAATTAAAAATACCTAAATGAGGTTTTCCCTCCCAAAAAATAGTAAACGTACTAAAATATAATGTGTTAAAGGTTAATAACGTATTTACTGAGAAAATAAATGCCTTAAAATCCTTTCTGTTTTATCAGTCGTCTCTGCCCGATCTGGACCGGAAATAGGATCCTACGCTACTTTCGGTGGCTAACTTTTTCGGCTTTGGATTTAAACATAAATCTAGTCTTTTTGAGTTTTATGTTTTAGTTTCATTTAACCTTATGCTATATAGTGCGTAATCTAAAGAGAGAAACAACTAAAATGCAGATAAACATGGTTTAATCATATTTTGCCGGACTGCTCTGAGCATATCTACTGATGGCTTCAGAGAAGCAGTTTAACAAAGAAAATGTAAAAAGCATAAAAATTGTCTCACAAAAGTCATAAAACATCTTTTAAAGGTGTGTATTAGTATCCTTTAGTGAGTTAAGGATAGAAATAAGTAGTTTTAGTACCATAATTACATTCTTTATGGACACCCGGAAGTATATGTATTCGCCCATGCGCAGAACGGATCGTGCTCCCGGGATTGGGTAGCAACAAGTGGTTCAACCAAAGATGGAAAAAAAATGGGAAAACTGCAAACCTATAGACGTAAGGAGAACATTAATCAGAACAGAAAGACTGAGGTCCATTTTAACGTTGGAGGAGCTGCAGAGATGGCTCAGGCCGGCTGTATGGAGTGAAGTTTGTTCCATTATTTTTGCAAACGAACGACATGTGTTGTAAATTCGTTTTTTGAAAAAAAAAATGCAATCCAGAAATGAAATTTAAAGAAAATTATTCATCAAAAGACGGTTTGATAATAATTATGCTGTTTTCTCTGATTTTATTTTCTAAGTCATTTTTTTCCCTTTTTTTCAATTTTTTTTTATTACTATTTCTAAAATTGAGTTTTATGAATCGCATTCTTGTCAAATTGTGTTTTACATATCATTTCCTTCAACTGTGAGGCCGGGCTTTTTTCTGGAGCTAAAAGCAAAGATTTCTATTGGTCTGCATGAACGTTAGTAACAACATTTTAATTGGTCAAAAACAATGATTTATATTGGGGTGAAAGTGAAGCCAATGTGATCAGAAAAATGCTGTTTGAAAACAACGCAATTGGTCAACCCAAATCTGAAAAAGAGAAATTTAAAAGGATAAAAATGTCAAAATGATAAATCTGTAAAAATAAAAACATTTTGAAACAATAAAAATGTGATAAATTAAAATAAGAAAAAGGGATTTAAAAAAACTAAACCTGAGAAAACAGCAAAGCTCCTCTCAAAACCTTCTTTTAATTAGGATTTTTCAAAGTACAATATCTAGCTTCCATTTTTTTCTTTAAAATTTCTATTTATAAAACATTTTCTTTCGTTCGAACAAAAATAGAAGAAAATTCACTCCATAGGTACAACCAGTCAACAATTAAGAGGTTTATGCCACAAATCCAGCCTTTATGGAAAAGTGGTGAGATGAAATCCATCATTAAAAAACAGCAGTAAACCTACTTGTTTTGGGTGTTGAGCAGGGCTATGCTCTGTGCTTCAGTTTCAGCCGCATGCCTCCATGTGACGAACCCACTCATATACAGCCACTCTACACACACACAGTCCGAATGGTTGAAGGTCCTCCTAACACAGGGTCCTTTTAAATGAGTGGTGGTCTGCCTTCATTGATGCTGCACTAAATCTGAGTAATTTAGTAAAGTCAGTCAAGCAATCAGGATACAGTCTTGAGACATAATTTCAATAGAGCAGAACTGCCCCCAGCATATGTAGGCCGAGGCAACCATCTGCTTCATATGCTAGATCTAAAACACAAAGACAGGACATGTAGGGAAAAAAAAGAAAACCCTCTGGCAGATTTCGTTATAAAGTAATGATGGTACATTTTGGAGTGGCCCAGCTAGAGGTCATTACTGACTGACAAAAGGTGACAGAGGCTTATGTTTAATGACCCCCAGACTCAGGAACTCTCTTCCTCTCTGTGGTTTCTTTTAAGTCTAAAGTCTTTTTTTAAATCGTTTAGTTAATTTAATTTTTTTCCATGCATTGTTAGACCGTGTACTAGTTTCTTATCAAGGACTGAGATTTATTTTGTCGAAAGGTGCCACATGAATACGTTTAGTTACCTACTTGAAGCTTATTGCCAAATAAGGTTTTTTCATTGGTTACTCTAAAATGTGCTTATTTTAATAAAAATGTCAAGTAGTAAGACTCTTTACAATCTTTTATAAGCCTCTGAAAGATAACGGTCACATTTTTAATCGGAATCAAGGTTCCAAAGTAAAACGTATTTTTACTATAAACCTGAATAATTTCGAGCTGAACTATATCTTTTTTTCCTTTTTCCTTCTACCTGCATGTTTTAGGTGCTTCTTCCTGCCTCCACACACCTGATTTTAAAACAAATGGGTGATTAACGGGATTCTGCAGCGGTTAATGGCTGGAGTAGAGCTAGGTCTACTATGCAGGACAGCAGGTTCTAAGGAGCCCCCACACTTCTCTGCTCCTAGGAATAAGTCAGCTGAGTAGGATTTGGCGTTCCTCCTAATCAGGTCGGTCAGAAGCATCAGCGAATAGCTTATCAGCTTTGATCTGAGGAATGCAGGCAGCAGACTAAAGGACAGCAGAGGTGATCCGAATAGGAAAAAGGAAGGAGGAGAATATCACTGCTTACATTAACTCTGACATACCAGCTGACTGGGAGTGAATGATAGAAAAATATGAGCAGATTTATAGTTAAGTTCTCAACATTTATTTATTTTTTCATTAGGAATGCATTTAAAGATGCCAATGAATCACAATGTGCATCCCTTGTGAGTCATACTGATGTCTTTTACCTTCAGGCAGACGTGAGCTCTAACTGCCTGCTCAGCGGTTTGACATTCTGCATCCGCATAAAATCAAACCACACAACGAACGCTCGGCCCGACGCTAAGGAAGTGTTGCTTTTTTTCCCCCTTTTGACGAAACAAAAACATGTGAAAAACGTGTGAAATCATTTGCGTCGAGCAGAACTTCAGGGTTAAGACATCTGTTCCAGTTCCCCCCTGTCTTCACTGGTCTCATTTGTGCTTCATGAGGGCCTGGTACTCCCTCTGGTGGGAGAACAGCTGCAGGAACACCTGGTACTTCCTCTCATAGAAGCTGTGGAAGGACGAATAAACACACAAATGTAATGAAGCACTGTTATTACTAAGCCAATTAGGACGCATAGTAAACCAAGCATTGAATACCAACTATTTCAATTAGAAAAAAAGAAAGAAAAAAAAACTGAAATTTTGTCTAAGAGTTACAGATTTCTATACAGTTTTTTGGATAGACTAAAGAAAAGTATTGGTCTTTAAAAAGTATATGTGGGTCTCTAAAAGTTTCTGAAAAACTCCCAGAATGCACAGCTGCTTATTTAGCCTTACATTACCTAGAAAAGTAGGATTTATTCCCTATTGGGTCTAGATGGTGGTGGGAAATTCTGGAAGGATAGTAAGAGTCATTCCTCATTGGAGGACCTTATGCACATGCCAAGACCCTCAGAGGAAATCCAAGCAGCTTTACACATCTAAGGCCTGGTCAAAAATAGCTTAAACTCAGTCAGGTTGGGTAGAGAACATCTCCAAACAAGCATTTGTTAACTTTCGTCACATATTATCAATCAGAATTAGGTTTACACTTTGACTGAAAAGTTTTCAATCTACAGCTGTGTCTTAAATAAAGGCCAGATGTCTCTTTTAGCTCCTTCATTTGCAATAAGCCGTCTCTGATTAACACTCTAATTGACCGCCAAGTTTAGGCAGGTTTGCTTTTTCAGATCATGGATTAGGGACCCTAATTTCTCACTGATGTGAGATTCACGTCTTAGAATGGCCTAGTCAAAGTCTCGGCTCAAATGCAACTAAGAATGAGCAAGAGTTAAAAGCTGCTGTCCATAAACTCATAAAATCAGTGAACTCTCAGGAAGGGCTGAAAACACGAAGAAGAAGAACTGGGTCTGCTTCTCAGATTAACACTGAGATCACTGTGATTGTTTTCTAATAAACCTCTGAAGATCTTGACAAATAGGGGGATTATTTACTAATTTGGAGACTTGTGAAGAAAAAATGGTTGTGTTAGATTTTATTAGGGGGCAGCAGAGGCTACTATAAATATTTTCCACATGTTTCTGCCCTTCATTTAATTATCTCTGTGCTGCTTTGCATTGTTTTTTTTGTACATAAAAGGCTTATTAAATCCTGAAAGTTGTCATTTTCTTTCTGGAAGGTGTCCCTTTTCCCCCACTCGGATATCCTTTCCTCACCTCTGAAGCTCCAGGTCCGGCTGAACGACTCTCCCCACTTTAGCCATTTTCTCCATGGCCTCCTGAGACACAAGTTGAAAGAAACAGCGCTCCATAAATGACGATGCAGAGGCGTACGTTTAATTTCACTTCAGCCTTGACCCACTTATCTAACTAACACAATCTGACTGCGGTAATTCTGGTGTGCCACAGCTCATGGTTAATGCATGGAGGGCCCTCTCTGTTGTCTAAACTAAAAAAAAATCCAGGCAGCAGAAACCCTGCAGCTGAGGGGGATCAGACACAACAACTGCCCGCAGTATTTATGGCTGAAAACAAGCAGACAGCTGCAGCCCAGTCCAAATAATAACATCTTATTTATACTTTATATGGCTCAGAGGTTATTGGGAGTTCTAGCAAAGTGAAAAAAAAGATATAAACCTTTAAATTTTAAT